TGGTACACAGTAAGTGCTCAATAAATGTTTGACACTGCTATTCCTAGGATGGCCACTTTGCACAAAAATACTCAATTTGAGTAAATTAGGGCGATCTGTTTGTTAAAATATTATCTGTGGAGACCATGTATGTGCTTTCCAGCATCGGTATATTTGATCCAAGAAGACAAGTCCCATTTGTCATCAATAATACACAAGCTTAAAGGAAACACGGGGATTAGTTTAATCATTGAAGTGCATGTAGCTCTTTTCTCTCTCTCTCTTTTTAATAAACATTTAACTTACCTAATTCTGTTGTTTTCAATTTGAATTTCTGCTCCTGGAATTCTGGCTCATGGGCCATAGGGTGATGGGGGGGTACTAAGTGTGCGGGCTCACTGTGACATCGCTGGTACCCCACTCCGGACACCCACCCTCAGAGTGGACCCCCTTGCCACGGATTTTATATATGGGCTGCAGTTCAGTGTGAAACTTGTCCAGAAGAGTTGTGCTGCTAAAAATAGCTTGAAAACCACTAGCCTACTATGAACATTATTCATATCTTTCTGCCCCCTGTTGCTTTCATTCCGTGTATACCCCAGGGATGCAACTAATGTTAATATTAGCCTGAGCAAAACATAATTAAGAAGGTAAATCTACTGCAAAAAGTAATACCGCATAAATTAAATAAATTAAATATAAATCAAATCAAATATGAAACAATGCATTCAATTATCTGCATCACTGCTTCCCTGCTCTAACATGGATATTGGAGAGGAGACTCGTTTTCTTTCTGGGTCAGGACCAGAGCCCAGCCAAGACCAGTGAATTGTGTCAACCCCTGGGAGGCTGGTTCTTGACTTATGGAGCATGAGTTAAAGGCACTGCTGTTTGGTCTGCTGAATTTTCCGGGGCAGTAAGTGGACGCACCATCCATCCCTCTTCATTGTTAACGCCTAAACTAGTCTTTGTGTGTGGCCGCACACACCTACTCATAAAACACTATTCAGTGTTCATCATGTAGGACTGATTTTGTGGTGAACTGTTTCCTGAAAAGTAGTGAGTTGCAGGGACTCCCATCAGCCTGGTAAGGGAAAGTGCCTTTCTGCAGAACTGCGGGGACTTTGAAGCGTGGACGGCAGACCTTAGCCGCATGAAGCTAGTGCCGCTTCCGGAATCAGAGGCAGAACCAGTACCGGTGCCTCTTCAACACCTTCTGTCCTTCTCTCCCCAGCATCTTGAGTGGCTGGGTCCACTCCCTGCTCTCCATGTTAGCATGCGCTCAAATATACATCCTCTCAAAAGACCCGGCCTGCATCCCGCCGGCTGGAATTCTCCAGGCAGGATTCCGTATGTGTGTTCCCACCTCTCCCACTGAGCACACTCAGGTTGGTCCTATTGTGACTCCTGAATCCAGAACATCCTGCAGCCGCGTGCCCTGCTCTATGTCAGCTTGACAGGGTGCTCCTCTTCCGCTGAATGTTCGTCTGAAGTGGGGATGACTTGTTCAGAAGGGACCTGGAACTCTGCATCAAAAACTAATGATGTACTCTATGGTGACTAACATAATTAAAAAAAAAAAAAAAAGAAAGCAAATACTAACATCTGTGAAATCCATATGCTGAGTACACAGGACTCTCTTATATTTATATTTATTTTTATTTTATATATCTGCAGTTCTTAAAATTATTTGTTTATTTATCTTTTATTAACATATAATGTATTACTTGCCCCAGGGGTACAGGTCTGTGAATCATCAGGCTTACACATTTCACAGCACTCACTATAGCACATACCCTCCCCAGTGTCCATCACCCAGCCACCTCATCCGTCCCACCACTCTCCCCTCGGTCACCCTCAGTTTGTTTCCTGAGATTAAGAGTCTTTTATGGTTTGTCTCCCTCCCGATCCCATCTTGTTTCATTTTTTGCTTTCCTACCCCCTAAACCCTCCACCCTGCCTTTCAACTTCCGTATCATATCAGGGAGATCATATGATAATTGTCTTTCTCTGATTGACTTGTTTTGCTCGGCATAATACCCTTCAGTTCCATCCATGTTGTTGCAAATGGCAAGAGTTTGTTTCTTTTGATGGCTGCATAGTATTCCATGGTATATATATATATATATATATATATATATATATATATATACCACCTCTTCTTTATCCATTCATATGTCGATGGATGTCTGGGTTCTTTGCATATTTAGGCTATTGTGGACATTATTGCTATAAACATTCAGGTGCACATGCCCCTTTGGGTCACTAATTTTTTATCTTTAGGGTAAATACCCAGTAGTGCAATTGCTGGGTTGTAGGGTAGCTCTATTTTCAACTTTTTGAGGAACCACCATGCTTTTTTCCAGAGTGATTGCTCTAGCTTGCATTCCCACCAACAGTGTAGGAGGGTTCCCCTTTCTCTGCATTCTCACCAACATCTGTCATTTCCCGACTGGTTAATTTTAGACATTCTGACTGGTGTGAGGTGATATCTCATTGTGGTTTTGATTTGTATTTCCCTGATGCCGAGTGATGTGCAGCACTTTTTCATGTGTCTGTTGGCCATGCGGAAGTCTTCTTTGCTGAAATGTTTGTTCATGTCTTCTGCCCATTTCTTGATTGGATTATTTGTCCTTTAGGTGTTGAGTTTGATAAGTTCTTGATAGATTTTGGATACTAGCTCTTTATCTGTATATCTGTAGTGTTTTATAATTAAAGAGAAAAATTGCAATGTTAAAAAAAATAGAAGGGGCCTGCCCTAGCTTCAGGGTATTTGCAATGGAAATGAATTTGTTTGTACTCAGAAGTCATAAGTTGGTGGAGGTGATGATGTTCAAAACCAGTTCTTACAGCTGAAGAACAGCAGCAATGGGCTAATTGGCCACCTCCCTTGGATACTTTGTTATCCCTGCCAAAGAAACTTTTTCTGACCTCGCTCCCCACAAACCCCAGAAAATCTGACCTTCCCTGCATTTGCAGCTCCCCATTTTGCTAAGTAACCTTTTCTCTTCCAGTACCTATACCTTTTTTTTTTTTTTTTAAATGTTTTTCTTTTGGGCTACTGTTTGAAGCAGTGAGATGTTGAGGGCAAGAACCAGGTCTTATGCTCTGAGTTCCCAGTTTACTAGGTCCCCAGGAAATATCGAAAGAATTAATGAGTTTGTGAAGAATGAATGAATGAATGAATGAATGAATGAAAAGATCCAGAGCATATGTTTCCACTGTTTCTCAGCATCAACATAATGAAAGGATAGCCACCTTCCATTCCTTCCTGACTTCTGTCCCTCTGTGCCTGCCCTTGGGCCTCGCAGCTGGGTTTCTGCTGAAGGTGCCTGCCTGATTCCTCCACGTCACCTCCCATAGTGCTGAGCAAGTAATTTTCCAGAAATACCCCATTTCTTTCCTATTGCTTTCCTGCACAAAACTAGAGTGATTTCCCCTTGCCTGTGGGATAAAGCTCAGAACTCTTTAGCCCAGCCTTCAATATTGACTCTACCTTGTCCTTGATATTCCTTTAAGAATTATTTTGATTGTAAATATTCTAAGCACATTGAAAAATATAACATATACTCAGTTACCCACCGCTGAGATTAAACAAATATTAGCATTTCCTTCACTTATTTTCCTAAATAAACGAGCACACATTGCAGATGTGGACTGATTTCTCCCTTCTGTCCCCACCCCCCACTTCCCCACTCCCATTAGAAACAATCCTTCCCCTTCCTGTCCGTCACAGTTCACCTCTGCGAACCATATGGGCCAGTTGGACTCCTCTTTTCTCTGGACTTTCATTATTCCTTCTTTTCCCTTGAGGCCCAGTTCACTTCCACCTCTTCCAGGAAGCTTTCCCATTAGTACCATAGTTTTCTAAATTGTTACCCACCTTACTGTCTCCCCTGTGCCCTTGGAGACAGTATCTGCCTGTGATAATTTTTTTTTTTTAAGATTTCTTTTATTTATTTTCGAGAGAAAGAGTGCCTGAACAGGGGAGGAGTGGTGGGGGGAGAATCTCAAGCAGACTCTGCACTGAGTGTGGAGCCTGATGTGGGACTCGATCCCATGACCCTGAGATCATAACCTGAGCTGAAACCAAGAGCTGGATGCTTAACTGACCGAGCCACCCAGATGCCCCTGCCTGTGACAATTTTTTGGAAGCAGTTTGATCCTAACACTGGGTTCCTATCCTCGATAGTAATTTTTTCATCTTGCTTTGTATTGTCCTTGATTGTCTGTGTGTACTTCCTCTCTTTTAGGTAACAACACTGAGAATAAGATCTGGTTCTTAGTTTCATCCATCTGTCCATCCATCCGTCCATCCATCCATTCTGTAGGTCTTGGCTGAATGCCTCCTTATAAGCTGCAGGAATTATCTTAAGCAGTGGGGATACAGGAGTGAACCCAACTGATGGTTGCTGCGGTGATGGAACTTACATTCCCCTGGGGTAGAGAGAAATTACCTGAATAAATGAATGTGTCAAGGTGAATAGAGCTAAGGAGAAAAAGGAAGAAGGGATAAGCCTAAAGAGAGTGAGGATATTCTATACTTCAAGTATACGTATCTCCTATATGCTCTACTTTGCTGCTAAATCTGGAAGGCACTCAGTGCACATTTGTTGGATTAAACAGTGGACCCAGATAGACAATGTCTGATTACTGCCCGTGAAATGCTACCCCGTGTAGGCCATCCTTCTTGGAAGGTGGTTATAGGAATGTAAAATTTTCACCCTTTGCTTCCGGGAAATCTGAGTTGTTCCTTTCCCTACCTATGGGCTATAGAGATGTTCACTATGGAAAGAACAAATTTAAGTACTAGCCTAAGTGGAGCATAATTAGGAAGGGGAAATCTGCTTCCTAGCAACATGCTAATTCCAAAGTCAAATGGAACCAATTTGGCATAATCTTTCCCACTGTTCCTCAGCCTTTGGGCTGATGGAAAGTTCACCATTTCACAGTGTTTCTGCATGTGGTGGTATGGAACTATGACTGCAAGAAGACCAATGTCCTCTTTCTCATTCTTCTAGCCTCCAGGCACAGATAAAATCCCTCAACTTGTCCCTTAAGGAAATCACTGCTAAGGTAAGTACGTTTATATGCCCGTTTTCTAAAGTCTCTGAAGTTTTCTTTTGACTTAATGTCATGTCTAGCTCGCATGGAATTTCAGGCTAGCTCATGGCTCTGAAAGAAGTGAGGATGCTATAGAGCCATTCGACAGGCCAGGCAATGAGCCCAAAGAGCTGGGAAGGAGGGCTGTTGCCCTGGTGGAAGTCCTGGCTTCTGGTCCCCCCGGAATTGACTGGTTCGGCCTTTGTCTTCCAGGAGCTGCCAGTATTAGGGAACGGAAAATGAGTGCTTTTGGGTACCATCAAATGCCTTTGCATGAAAAGGCTTTGCGGATGGGAGTAATCTGAAAAATTAATTGCTTTTCTTCCAGGAGGACAGGTTCCTGGGATCCTCACAAACAGGTTTTGGAAAAGGCATAGCAGGAGTTTTTATAAACGTTTTAAGCTGACTTCAGAATCCTTTTGCCCATATTCTCTGCTGTTTATACTTCATGCCAGGACCTTGGATTGTATACAGATAGCGCACTCCTGCATTATTCCCCGGGAGCACATAGCCAATTCAATTAAATAGCCAATGTCATGGTTAGTTAGGATAAGCACAGTTTACAAAACAAAATCCTTCCCTGCAGAGATAGTTCTGTGTGAGCGAGTTATTGACACACTGAGAAGTAGGATCAGTTACTCTGTGAATCACCAAATGGGCAGCAGAGAACTGGGATGAATTGTTAATTATTTGCGTTAGGTCTGGGAGCCAGGGCTGGTTATAGGATGGTCAGGATGTACCAAAGAACAGGTGTCTGAGTGGAGAGCAAAGCAGGCGAGAGTCCACTGGCTTGGAAGGAATGTTCTCTTGCCCTCCCCCAGCGCCCAGGAGCAAGATCAGGGAGACCTGCCAGTGGGCTTGTGTGTCACCACAGCTGGGCTGAGACTGGGGCTGTGTTGTTGGCAAAAGTGTCCACAGTTGTTCCTGGCCCTTTTTTCAGTTTTTGTGTCCATTTTCTGAAAAACGAAACAAAACAAAACATTAAGTGATTGTACTACAAAATCACACGACAGCAGTTTGAGAGGCAGTGATGTTCCCCGCCAGAAGACTTGCCTGAAGACGAGCAAGACGAGATCCAAGGGGAGGCTTTCTGCAGAGCTGCATAAGGAGCAGAATCCCCAGGCAGGGCTCCAGCAAAGGGCTTTTGTCATGGGTTCTCCCGAGGCGCAGGGCTTAGAGACCTTCTTCCCTGCTCAAGGGACACTGACTTGGTTTACCCCTTCTGTCCTGTGAAGCAGGAGGGGAAGCACTAGAGGGCATACTGGAATTTCTATTCTGTATGTTTGAATGATGTCACCAACTAGTACTCATGTTCTGTGGCTGTCTGCCACGTGACCTTCAGGCGGAGCCCCTGGGGAGGTGAGGAGAGACCAAAGCTTCCTACCTGGGATGGGGGCAGGAGTATTCCTTCTCCTGTATTTTCTGGTGTAAATATGTGCCATTTATCTGGTGCATCTCAGTTGCTACACAGAATTAACAGGTGGAAGTACTCTGGGGTGTGGTTTGTTGAGTATGAGAACGGGCTGTGTGTGATCTGAACGAGTCCCTGCCCCAGCAGTGAGCAGGCAGGCGTGCCTCGTATGGAACGCACATGGTGTTGATATGGGAGTGTGTTTTCTAGGACATTTTATATTATGCACACACACATATTAACATATGCACACGATAGTAGGATTTGTTGATAATCTCCAGCTACTGCTAAAGCTCTTGGATTTGCCCAAATGCCAAAAGTGATTGGCTTTGTTTGCATACCTTCTCTAACGCACTTATGAATAACTCCTAATTCCGTTGCTTTTCGAGGAGATTAAGGAATTCATAGCTAAGATTTTAAAATGTAAATCTAAAAGCTTCATTTGATAATGAGTTCCTCAGGGTCCCATTTTACCTGGAAATAAAAAGGAGATGCAGCTTTTTGGGGGGTGTGTATGTGTGTGTATAAGTGGCTGTATATGTCCGTACAGACATGAGTGTGTGTGTGCGTGCACTCTCACACGTGTGTGTGTGTGTGTGTGTGTGTGTGTTTGGGGACATATATTAGTCCACATAGAATTACGACTGCCCAGTCACACAGAAACAATTTTATACTGTACTCGACTGACTCATGACTCATGACCTTAGATACATAGGTCTGATACTCTTTTGATTCTTCCCTCAAAGAAAGATGGAACCCTCCTTCATTCATTACATTTCTTTGATGCTTATGGTTCCCCAAACCAGGTAATTAAGGGATAAATGAGATGGAAGAAATAGTGAAATAAACGGAGTATCTGGAGATTGGTAGATACTGGATTATAACCAGCAGTGCTTGAAAGAATGTACATTGCAATTTAATCAGATTTAGAAAGGCAGTCTCCTATTAATAGTGACAGCTTGAAGGATAGATTTGCTCAACAAAGGAGAAACTGACCCAATTATGATTAACAGAAGCTGTTAACTAAAATCAGGAAGACCGAACATACATTGGATGAGACATAAGAATTATGGCTGGTGTTACAGGCTTAGCAGAAGTGTTCTCAGACATCCAGTGACATTCTTAGATGGATGGAAAGGGATGGGCCTGCCATCGGGCACTGGGCCAACCTAAGACTCAGTGGTATGGAAAGGTTTCCAGAGCCTCTTCTTTTTAACACCCAAATGTGGGTGTTCTGACTCCCGACAAATCTCAGGACCATTTAGAGGGTCTTGGAATTCTCATTTGGGGCTGGAGAATACACATCGCTGCTGATATTAGCTTAGGTGTGGAGGCCATCACACTGTGGCCTTGACCCAGAGAATGAGTTTTGTGATCTGGGAAGTTACAGCTGCTTGATGGAAAAGAACATAATTAAGGCCATGAAAGAAATAGTATAACATTTTAGGCAGGATGGATGAGGTCTGCTTGGATTCCAAAAATAATTTCATTTTCAGTCTGTGATAAGCAAAACAATTCTACTTGATGGTATCTATTAAGATCTAGATTCTTCTGGGGAAATTGAATTTTATATTTTCTCTGGGTTCTAGGAACCCAACTGGGTTAATTTTAGTTTTTGAATGGAATCAGATTTTTAGGAAGAAAAGAGGGATCCTTTGTGGACCACCCCAAAAGTCTCCATACACACATTTATTGTTATTCAACTGAGCTATGTGCTTTTGTTGAACTGGATGTTTTTTTAGGTAGCTTGCTAGTGAGGGTGTAGATAGCAATCAAATATGAGGTTTTTGCTTTAAACAAAAGAAAAAAATGTGATGTTTTGGTTTCAAACAAAATAAAAGATAACCCAAGACATTTGGAAAAGGAAAGTGGGATTTCAGACTTTTGCTATTTTTGAAAGAGCGAAGAAAAATGTAGGAAGTGTTTGGGTGTCCTGAAAAAATACGTGATAAAACCTGTAAACCTCACTGAGGTCTCCTTGTCTGTTTTTCAAGTCTGACTTGCCAGGAATAGAGAAAAGTCCCTGCTTACACAGAGCTTGCATCCTCGTGGAGAGAGATGCTAGGAGAATGAGAATAAAACAGATACTGTCCTCTGGGGAAGATACGGTGGGAAAAGGCCCCTCAGGGGGAAGGTGGAAGGGGAGAGAGAGTTGAAGGGCCTGCTATTTTATATGGGTTATCGGCCAGGCCTTTCTTCCCAGGTGATGTCTGAGCAGAGCCCTGAAAGGTGTGAGTGGGCTAAGCCACTTGGAGCAAGAATGTTTCAGGAGGAGGGAGTAACCCTGGGGAGGGAGTAGGCAGGGTGGGGAGGTTTTTCTGGTTTGTGGTTGTGCTCTGGTGTGTTAGCTCTTGTCATTTTTGTGGGTGGGTGTGGTGAAGGTGTGGGACCTGAGGCTTGGAGTGTGCCAATGCTCACTCCCTCCCACCTTCCCTCCCTTCTTCTCTCCTTCCATGTTCTTCCCTTCCTTCCTTCCTGCCTCCTTTCCTCTTTTCTTCTCTCTCTCTTCTTTCTTTCTTCTTCCATCTTTTGTTCCTCTTTCTTTCTCTCTCTCTCTTCCTCCCTTCCTTTCTTTCTCCTTCCTTCTTCCCTCCTTCCCTCCCTCCCCTTCCCTCTTTCTTTCTTTCCTTTTTCCTACCTTCCTTGTCTGCTTTTAAATAGCTCCCCTCCGTTACTCTTTATCACCCCCCAATTGCTTATAAACCCAGAAATCCTGACGGGCCGCCCCATTGCCTTCTGGTTTTTACCTGACCAAATGACGTGTCCTGGCTCTTTCTCTCCCCATAGGTGTGTATGAGCGAGAGACTCGGCAGCACTCTCAGGAAAAAAGTGAATGACATTGAAGACCAACTCCCAGTGTTGCTTGAAGCCAAAATGCTGGCTGTCTCAGGTAACTGGCTGTGGAGGAGGGTGGGGGACACTGAAACGGTGGAGGGGCATAGTGCCAGCTGCCTCTGCTTCCAGGTTTCGACCTCGAGTAATGTTCTACCTGTTACTTAGGTTATACTTGGACATTTCAGAGCGTTTGTGGGAAGTCTCCCTAAAACTCGTGGACTGAATGGGCAGCATGGCCTCCTTGTAAGATTCTTAAAACTGCATATGCACATGTAATGAAACAAGAAGTTATCTGCGTCCTATTTTGGACTTCGGTTTCTGTTTCTTGAAGACAGGAGAGGCGCTCTGGAGGCCTTGTAATTCCAACAGATGTTTCAGATGTTTACGTAGTTGCCATGTGTGTCTGTAGAGGCTCGCAGGTTGTTGGGTGTGGTTGCCCCTTCCTATAGGGAGAGAGAGTAACTGGAGCTAAAGTAATACACGTAATTTACCATCCCAGTCGGAGACAGTAGATTCCTAGAGGATTCTCGGTATATCATCATCGTTCCGTCATCTGGTAGTTCTTAGGGATACATTTTCCCATTCATTAGTAGGTCTCTGAAAATATTATCGTACCCTATTGTTTGAAGGGTGCTTTCAAGCCTTCCCCTGTGCTGTTATTTTATTTCATTTTCATAACAGTTGTGTCAGGTAGGTGGAAAAGATAGGGGGTCCCAGTGAACAGATTAGGAGATTGAGGCCCTGGGATGTGTCCTTTGGTTAAGTTCACTCAGTTAGCGAAGTGGTGGCAGAGCAAGGGCTCACGTTCAGGTACGATTCGTAGCTGCTTCTTCTTCTTCTTTTGAAGATTTTATTTATTTGTTTGACAGACAGAGATCACAAGTAGGCAGAGAGGCAGGCAGAGAGAGAGGAAGGGAGCAGACTCTCCACTGAGCAGAGATCCCGACGCAGGGCTCGATCCAAGGACCCTGGGATCATGACCCGAGCCGAAGGCAGAGGCTTTAACCCACTGAGCCACCCAGGCGCCCCTGATTCGTAGCTTCTTAATCCAGCTGTGTCGTGACATCCTCCAGGGATTCCCTGACTTCGATAGGTTGAGTGACCCTACAGATCATTGCCTTCAGAAGCATCATAAAAAATTTAACGAAAAGGTATAATAATTACATGTATGGGTTTTAAATGGCATTTTAAGAAGGAATACAATAATTGGCAGCTTCTGCTCTCCAGATCATTAAACAACTAATGTTGGCAGCTAACGAGCAATTTGGTTCCCGGTGCAGTCGGGCGTGTTATTTACAACCGGAGCAACATCGAAATGCGAGTGTGGGGCTCGGCTCTCAACAGCTTCACATGCCATTTACTTGAAATTATGGCCCCATTTGCTAAGAGAAAAAAAAAGAAGATTGAACGCAATATCACTTCTGAGTTAGTGTTTTTGCCTTTCTTAATCCATTCATCTTCCTGAGGAACACAGGTGGATGGGTCTCTGTTAAGCCCGAGGGAGGAGATGGTCATGCAGGCAGCACAGAGAACCCTCTCTCCAATGTGAATAATCTCCTTTTAGAATCCCAGGGAAGGGACGCCTGGGCGGCTCAGTGGGTTAAAGCCTCTGCCTTTGGCTCGGGTCATGATCTCAGGGTCCTGGGATCAAGCCCCGCATCAGGCTCTCTGCACGGCTGGGAGCCTGCTTCCGCCTCTCTCTCTGCCTGCCTCTCTGCCTACTTGTGATCTCTGTCTGTCAAATAAAAAAATAAATAATATCTTAAAAAAAAAAAAAGAATCCCAGGGAAAATTCTTCTGGTGGTACATTGCCTATGGGGTCTGGGTTTCATGTTTAGTTCTTTGATCTGCTGAGAGCACCAGTGAGGCCTGATCAGAGGAGGGGTGACCTGAATTAGCTGGGATGGGAACTCCCCCCTTGACCTCGCTAGTTCCTGATTACTTTGTAGACTGTTGGCAAACAGGCTTTCCAGTCACAGGCTGTCCCCATGGGCCGTGCCAGTGCCAGAGTGGGTATCATTCTGTACATATTGTGCGTTCTGTTTGCTTTTGAGCTGAGCTCCACAGCAGGGAGGATCTGAGCAGGGAAAAGGCACTTGCTGTCGGGTCTTGACAGAGCTATCTTCATGCATTCAGAATGGCAAACCCTCACTCCGTTAGACAAAAGCCATGACAAACCTCTCCAAGAGAAAGAAGCCTTTTTCCATTTGGTCAGCCTGTGAAAACGCTGAGGGGCGTTGCCCTCAGGATGGTTGGACACCCTCTTGATTGAAGAGGGTCTTAGGGGGTTCCTTTAAGATTCCCAGAGGGCCTTTTTTCTGAAAGTTTCTTCGCTTCACTCCTTGATTTGGTTTATAGACTGAGACCTTCTCTTAATGTAACAATGCTTTGCTATTTGCAGAGACTGGGAATAAGAGATGGTTTTATAGTCAGATTCACGAAGTCTTAGCTCATTTATGTTTAACAGTGAGTTCTTTTTTTTTTTTTTTTAAAGATTTTGTTTATTTATTTGAGAGAGATAGCAGAGTGAGAGAGAGAGAAAGCATGAGTCGGGGAACGGGGGCAGGGGCAGAGGCAGAGGGAGAAGCAAGCTTCCTGTTGAGCTGGGAGCCTGAAATGGGGCTCGATCCCAGAACCGTGGGATCATCTCCTAAGCCAAAGGCAGACACTTAACTGCCTGAGCCACCCAGGCTCTGTAACCTGATGAGTGTCCCAGTCTTCATCTGCAGGCAGCCTGCCCTCACTCTGACCATTTCCCGTCCCTTAGGCTCCAAGCCTGGCTCCCTGATGCCCATATTCTGATCTTGCCCTGATACTGACATGGTGCGTTCATTTCCAGCTCCTGCCTTTCCCTGCTTGGATCACCCACTGTTGTTGATGCCGTCCATCTGTTGAGTCACTCTGCTATTTTTCCCTTGGGCTTTGCCGGGCACTCAGAAGACAGTCAATAAGAGTAATTATGTTAAGAAAAAATGCACCTCATTTGTTGATTGCTGATCCTTAGAATCTGTTATTTTCATACCTCCTTTGGGTCATCCCTCAGTTTGTGGTATATTTCCTTGCCCACCTGCTTCCTGTCATTTGTTTCCAAGGAACAAACAGTTCAGATCATCATTTATTCCTAAGTAGCATACCAAGAGTCTCAGGTACTCCAAGCCAATTTCTTTTTTTTTTTTTTAAATGATGGTTCTATCCAATTTGACTTTTCTTTACAGAGAATAAAAATCAGCTGCAATTCAAATACCTTAGTGTCTACATAGAAACGTATCTAGGCACAAACAAGGTTTTCTAGATAAGCTCAGAATGTCTCCCTCTCTCTAAAAAATTTACATCAATGGCTGGAGGAGATGAGACGCCCAGCAAAGATTTTTCAAAGATGATGTCTGTCCAGTGTGGAAATAAACAAGACCCACCAAATGGGAAGATGTGAAAGCTGTTTCAGAACTTACTATGGCAAGGGAGTCAGCCACCATTACCTGTGTTTTGGCAGAGACTCAAAGGCAGGCAGAAAAGTGGGAAAGCTTTGCAGTAGAAGAAGGGGAAGGCTTCAGGTATGTTCTGACGGGAGGCTGGGGAAGCGAGAGGCAGGCTAATTAGAGAGCATCCCGTGTGATCGTTTCAGAGAATGTATTTGGCTTTTTCTGGCTGGTCCTAAGTTGGAAGCAGGGACAAAAATTAGGGAAGCTGTCAGTTATTAATAAAATCCTGGCCATTTTGGACCAATTATTACAGAAATCATTGTTCAGTTTCCTGGATTATTACTAGAATAACAATCTGTCTTCCTACGGACTGCCTTGGAGCCAGGCTGGCTTCCTGGACTGGTTCTTGTAGATATGGGGGTTCATGCCCCCCAGGAGGATTGCGTTAGGTTGCTGGTCAGATGTTGTTTGTAGAGATGATCTGGCCATTGTCTGTTTGTACATTTATCTCTCACTAGGTACCACACTTTCTCACGCTGTTAGAGGCAGTCTGTGTTTTACGTAAAATCCCGTTTGTTTGGGTGTTATGTTCCCCGTCTTCTCTGTGAAGTATGTGGCCATCTAAAATGTCTGATGTTCAAAAGGGCTCTGCTCACAGAAAATGCTTTTTGCTCTCTCAGGAAATCATAGTGATGGGAAGAAAGCAACAAGACAGAAAATGGCCAATTCCAGCCGGAGGAGCTTCTGTGGCGAGGTGGCGGCGTGGTGTAGGGAGTGCTGGCCCGGGGGCTGGTTGCTTGTGTTTGTCCTGCTGGTACAAGCTGCTAGCACAGAGCCTTGACATGGCCGAGGGGGAGGCTTTGAGTGACAGAGCGTGAGGTCTTGCCTAACCACATGTATTGGAGTTGGGAGTTCCTCAAAGATACGGTGTTGTGACAGAAAAAAGAGGCAGGACTCTGTTATTTTTGGAGTTTGATGATTTTCAGTACTGGCTTCCTTCCTTCCTTCCTTCCTTTCTTTCTTTCTTTTTTTTTTTTTTTTTTCCAGTAAAGAAGGTTAGCTCAAATTTGGGGATGTAAACGTGAGTGATTTTTAGGAGGCTCGTTACAGATGGAAATGTCTGTGGACCTCTGCAGTACACCGTGTGTGTGTGTGTGTGTGTGTGTGTGTGTGTGCGCGTGTGTGTGTGCATGTGCATGTTTGTGGCAGGTCCCTCTAGATGAAAGTCATAGTGAGTGCTGGAGACTGATAGGTGACACAGCCTACCAAGATGCAGGATTCATTCCCCAGCCCCCTTCGTACTCCCTCCCTTTATGGGTGACAAGTCACTTCCTGAGCTGTATTTGGTAGAATAAGCACCTAACACGAGGTTGGAAAAACCCAGTTCAAGTTCAGTAACCTCATGTGGGATCTTAGAACTCCAGAACTTTGTGACCTTGGGAGGGTGACTCTCTGGGTCTTAGTTTCTTCTTGGAAATCAAGGACAATCATTACAAGATCCCCATCCTGGCTTGTTGGAAGGGCCAAGTGAGACCATTGCTCTAACTAGAGCTCCATTATCAACCAAATCAGACTCTCAAATAATGACCTCAGAAAAGGAAGCCCAGGCATTGTGAAGTAGAGGAGGGAAAGATTT